CCCCCCCCCCTCCCCGTCCCACTCCCCTGAAGTTGATTTTACTGTTCACCGTTTTTCTACGGAGGAAGTTCTTAGATCAGACTGGCAATCTGATCTAAGAGTGTTGGACTCTTGAGATGGGAGACAGCGGCGGAACAGCGCAAGCCTCATCGCAAAGACACGCTATCTGTCGAAAGGGTGACCTAAAGAGCCAAGGGGCCTCGGTTCCCTCTCCCCGTCTAACCCCGGTGCGGAGGGAGATTACGGCTCGGCTGTAGGGTTCGGTCCGGCCACAGCTAAATTGAAAATGCAGGCCATAGAAGTTCGCTGTCCGGGCTGGGATGCTAGCCCACTGTTCGGCCTGCAGCCTTGCTGAGCGTCGGTTCGGTCAGCTCTGAAATGGGTCGTACGGCTGGCCTTGGATCCTGGCATCCTCAGGCGTACCTCCTGGGCCTTGGTTCCGCTGCCTGGTGGCAGGACGCTATTCGTCCTACCCTTGCCCCGGGGTACCGGGAGTTTAAGACAGGCCGCGTGGGTGCACCGCGCCTCTAGCTGGGCCCGACGCGAGCTGGAGGCCCCAAACCCTGCCTAATGCTTGTGTTGCAGTCTCGGACGAGTAAGGAATCTGGAAACGCGGCGTAAATTTCACAGATGCGTGTATTCCTGAACCCCTCCCCCCCCCACCCCCCAAGGCCTGAACCCATCTCTGGAGCCTATGGACAGATGTGAGGCTGCCGATCACCCTGGCGTCCGCAGCCCGACCCCTCCCGCCAGACCCCGGACGCCGTCAGGGTAATAAAGTTCCCGCTCTAGCAATTCATTTTCCTTAATCTGGACGCCCCTAACCTACAGCTTTTATTGCGCCCAGTTAAAAGGCGAGGGAATTCGCGGTCCCTGCGCGCTCGGATAATTACCCCTAAATGGCCACGGCAGCCCCTCGTGTTTCCTGGAGATTAGAACCCCGCAGTCATCAATGGCGGGTCCCGGTGAGCCGCCAATCACCGCCGCTGGCTCCCCGGGGGTCGCCGGCCTGGGCCCCGGGATAAGAGGCCATAAAGAGGAGGGGCAGAAAACTGCTGAGCCCCAACCCGACTTTGCATAGATCTTACATCTCCCCACGCTTTCAACTCATTTTCGTCCATTTTTTTAGCAGAAAAAAAAAAATCACGTCTCCTCCGAAACTGGCAAAAGAAAAGTTCTCCAGCCCAGCTACCAAGGATCCTTCCCAGGGACCGTCCTCTTTCTCCGCTGACCCCCTCCCACAGACGTGCCTCCCCACTCCTGTACCATCCGCGACCCAGAGACAGGGACGTGTTATTGTTTCCGCGGACGCGTTGAGGTCACGTTAAGGCCAGATCAGTGTTTTGCTGACGTTTCTGCTGGTTTTATTCCAATAAGTTCTGTATCAAAGGGACCCGGCGGCTCCTTCCCCCGGCTGGTCGCCGGTATAGGTGTTGCAATCCTCCCAGGGAAGTTCACAGCGGGGGGAAAGTACACATCATGAATGAAAATCGATTAACGACCCCGGATAATATCATGTGTTCTCATTCTTAGCGTCTATAGCACCACAGGAGAGTGGCCGCTTTCGGCAAACTTCAGTCCAGCGCCTAGAAAGAGACAAAGGCCCGCTTCTACTCAGAGGTAAAGTTTTGAAGATTGAAACAGAGGAAAAAAATAGAGGTTTGTTTTTTTTTTTTAAAGAAATTAATCTTT